CTAACCCTCTGCACTGACACCCAGACACTAACCCTCCTCTCTAACACCCAGACACTAACCCTCCTCTTTAACACCCAGACACTAACCCTCTGCTCTAACACCCAGACACTAATCTTCCTCTCTGATACTCAGACACTAACCCTCCTCTTTAACACCCAGACACTAACCCTCTGCTCTAACACCCAGACACTAATCTTCCTCTCTGATACCCAGACACTAACCCTCCTCTCTGACATCCATACACTAACCCTCTGCTCTAACACGCAGATACTAACCCTTCTCTCTGACACCCAGACACTAACCCTTCTCTCTAACACATAGACACTAACCCTCCTCTCTAACACCCAGAAACTTACCCTCCTCTCTGGCACCCAGATGTTAACCGTCCTCTTGGACACCCAGACACTAACCCTCCTCTCGGACAGCCAGACACTAATCATCCTTTATAACACCCAGACACTAACCCTCCTCTATAACACCCAGACACTAACCATCCACACTGACAGCCAAACACTAACCCTCTGCTCTGACACGCAGACACTAACCCTCCGCTCTAACATGCAGACACTAATCCTCCTCATTAACACCCATACACTAACCCTCTGCTCTAACATCCAAACACTAACCCTCTGCTCTAACACCCAGACACTACCCGTCCACTCTAACACCCAGACACTAACCCTCTTCTCTAACACCCAGACACTAACCCTCTGCACTGACACCTGGACACTAACTCTCCTCTCTGACACCTAGACACCAACAGCCAGGCACTAACCCTGCTATCTAACACCCAGACACTAACCCTTCTCTCTAACACCCAGACACTAACCCTCCTCTCTAACACCCAGACACTACCCATCCGCTCTAACATCCAAACACTAACCCTCTGCACTGACACCTGGACACTAACTCTCCTCTCTGACACCTAGACACCAACAGCCAGGCACTAACCCTGCTATCTAACACCCAGACACTAACCCTCCACTCTGACACCCAGACACTAACCCTTCTCTCTAACACCCAGACACTAACCCTACTCTCTAACACCCAGAAACTAACCCTTCTCTCTAACACCCAGACACTAACCCTCTACTCTAACACCCAGACACTAATCTTCCTCTCTAACACCAATACACCAACCCTCTGAACTGACACCCTCACACTAACCCTTCTCTCTAACATCCAAGCACTAACTCTCTCCACTGACACCCTGACACTAACCCTTCTCCCTAACATCCATACACTAACCCTCTGCACTGACACCCAGACACTAACCCTTCTCTCTAACATCCATACACTAACCCTCTGCACTGACACCCAGACACTAACCCTTATCTCTAACATCCATACACT